TCCAATTTAGTCTAATGATAAAGGACGTATATATTTTTTTTTAAATCTTTATTTAAAGTATATCTGCTCAGTTTTGTCAGAAAGAGCCCAACAACAATGCATTTACTGCTTTTTATTTTACGGATGTTACATTTCTTTGTTGATTAATCAGTTCAATAAAATTATACTTTTCCCAACTTCTGTAACTCATTTTTGTTTCATATCAAATCAATAGATATAAGTTATTATTAAAAGGGCTCTTTGGAAAGTTGTTGTTGTGAGCAGGGAGACTTTGTCTGCCTTGTTGAAAAGCTATTCAGAATGTTCAGACACTTTTTGTGACATTCTTCTCAGCACAAGCACCTCAGCTGTTGAAGATTCTGAGAGTTTTGTGTCTTCAAAACTGAAAAGATGAAGTAGGTTGTTTCATCTGAGCCAGGCTTCTGTCAAAACATTTGTCCCACGATACAATGCCCACATAGGATTTGGGACATGCAAAAGTGCTTCTAAACAGCAGAAAAAGTAGTGAAAAAAAGAGTAATAATTAAAACACACATCACATATCAACAAATCTAAAAAAAGTCTAAAGATTCTGGTGTTCTGTACTTTCATAACATCCTCCAGTCCCTCGAACGGCTTCAGGTCTCATCTGGATTTAATCAGATCAGTCTATTCAATCCAAATTAGGTCATAACATAGCCGTTTCAAACTCACTGAGGTTGCAGTTTTTCTGTTTTATCAACAGCATCTGGATGTCCAGAAGCAGCCATGGTCACATTATTGCCTCTCAGGGTTGTGGATTTGGCAGAAGTTGGATTATGGTATTTGGAGGTCAAACACATCAACCTTTTGACATTTGCAGCAGGCCAGTGGAGGGCGTGAGGAGCCGGTTCCAGCCATCAAAGACTCCATCACTGGCAGTGGAGCCAACCCCCACATGCTCACAACCGGTGACTGAAATGGAGGCAGCTTAACCTGTTCTCTGGCGACTGAAAACATCATAAATCCTGCTCACTCACATTGCTCTGATTTGGTTGTTAGTGTTTATTTTCAGGTTCAGTAATGGTCATATTCATACTGTTATAGTTAGATTAATGTGTGTCATTCAGATGATTAAGTCCTGCTGAAACCGTTTATCATCCCAGAAGTGATCACATTTTCTCTTTTGACTTCCTTTAGTGCCATTGTTCTTCGTAGAAAGATGCCTCCAGGTTCACATACAGGCCAGGATTTCTTCACTGTGGATTTACTGTGTGTGTTGTCGCTGTCAGGTATTTTCAAGCTCATTAATTTCCCTGCTCTTCATAAAGTCTTATGCACGTCTGCCTTGAGGTCTAAGTACTTGTGAAAAACAATAAGCCATTTCTTTCCAGTTTTGTTAATCTGCATAATATTTGTGTGCGGAAGCAACAAGTAACACCACGATGTGAGGGGACCCCTAGTGTTCCAAACAGGAACACTGGAGGAATGCCTCTGCATTGTGCTACAGAAATAACACTATGGAGTTTGTGAGTTTTTCCATCTGTTGTGCTCCTGGTAAATAGACAGGTTTGTGCTACCGTTCTGACAATAGCTCTCTGCCTCAGACTATCTGCCTTCGTATCTGTGACAGAATCCCCACACACAGAGAGGTTCAGACTGGTTTCTTTACTCCCTCTTATCTGACACACGCGTTCTCCGTTTCCATCGTTCCTGGGCTTCTATACCACTCTGCGCTCATGGCTTGGGGGGCCCACTTCACCCCCGTCCCCAGTGCCTCTCTTTCTGTCCTGGACTGCAGTGAGGTTCAGTCACAGTGGAGAGAGCCCTTTTGTGTTTGTCAAGAGCAGTCTGACAGGAGATCTTATCTCCTGCTCGGTTCTGTTCTCAGTAGGAAAGGTGATTGCGCTGCTCTCTGCGGGCAAGGGTCCCACAGTTCAAACTTGACCTGAGAGAAATGGTGTCAGGCTCGGTACAGTGAGCGTGTTGGAAGTCCTTTTAATGGAGAGCTTTGCAAACAGCACTCAAGCTTAAAGTTGTTGACTCTGTGCTCAGAAGCTGGTAACCCTCCTAAATGCCTGGAGTTAAAGAAAGCCTTTAAATTACAGAATCACACTGAATCTGTCAGCCTTATTATTCCCAATACTCACTGAAAATTATGAATAAGTGTTTTTTCGCTGAGAGTTTAGCTGAGTGTATATCGTCTTTCTGAAAGACTACACACTGCTTTGTGAAACCAAACACAAAGGATCATGGGTGAGGTGTGAACATCAAAGATAAGGTCATCTGCCAATATGCTCATGGTAAGAGAAATCTCACAAGCCCCACTTTTTCATTGAAAACTCCATTGAGCAGAATTGAAAACCTGTATTGATCGGCCCCAGTACTAATAAGATTGGATGTAGCCCTCCGAACACCACATTTAATCTTCTCTCACAAAATCAACAGATTAGACCAGCATATACATTCATCTTTTCCCCGTCTCCATTCATATGAGCCATGCAGGCTGCAGCAAACAAAGGAAGGAGAATAAGAGAAAAGGTAGGATTGAGCACAAGAAAAGACATTTAAAGGATTTATGGGGCTCCAGCTGAGACTGTATGTGGAGGTCTCTACAAAAGAGGAGAGAGATGAGGTTTGTGATGGGCAGGCCATCACATCCACTCGCGGACAAAAGAGTGGGGTGACAAGCAGCCGATGGACAGAAGGTCCATTTCCACTCACACAAAAGAACCGGGGAGATGAAGCAGATTAGCGGCTCTTTATTTCCATTGTGAAGGCTCAAAATGATAAGATTTAGCCCTTTTTTCCATTCCTGCCTGTGTCCTGTGTCTGTGTGAGAGAGACGGAGCTTTCTTTCTGGTTTTTGTTTTTGTTTTGTTTTTTAACTTTCTATGACACACTACATGTGGATATGCTTCACATTATTTTGTCTTTCATATACAGGTTCATACACAGTGGCACAAATACACTTTTTCCAAACAGTAATTTATTTGTTTCTCAGGGAAAAGAAGAAACTGACAGGTCCTTTTGGAGTTGCTTCCTTCCTTCTTTTCATTTCTTTTTTTTTTTTTAGAAAACCTTGAATTTGAGGTTTGAATGGGGAGGCACTTATAACTTAAACCCCCTCATCACCACAGGATGATGTGCTTTTGTGAGTTGTAGAGCAGGAAATTACCCCTCCAAGTAGAAGAGATACACTCTTGCTACTGGACAATAATGACAGTCAGTCAGAGGCTTTTATGTGGCTTTCAAATTGCAGACTGCTATTAATAATGGGTGACACACTGTTATTATGTGACATGTCCAGAAGCTGTGTATCCTAACCACCTGCCTTTGTGTTCATGGAGATCTTATAAAAACTCATTCAGAGGATGCTGTTGTTTAAACGCGTCTACTGGTCATAGCTTTGTATTTAGTGCCATCTAGTGGTCATTCTTCAACATTGCATGCCATCAACGTCACAATGGCACTTTGCACGAAATATACAAAAACTGGAGCAACATAATACTTTAAATTTGAAAGTATTCTTTATTGAAGCACTTTTGAAATTGACTGATTTACAATATTTGTTTCAGGTACCGTATAAAATATAATTCAATTATAATCTTAATTCAAACTTAATAAAGTTAATATGTAACCTAATTAAACAGGCTTAAAAGTAATTTATTACACTTACATAATTAAGAAAATTTGTCTTTTGTTAATATTGGATGTAATTGATTTTCAGTCCCTTGGGTGCATTGAACGACTGCATTCATTTCCACGAAGTAGTTATTCTCATTGCTTGTCTCTGTCTTAGTAAAAAAAAGCACACTGTGCTGGGCTGATGTCAAGTGACTGACTCAACCATTTCCGATGTCTTTAGTTCTTTGCCTGAAAAAGCTCTTGAATTTTTTTTTTTTTGGGGGGGGGGTTCTGCCTGAATCAGTCCTCAGAGAACCCCTGACAGCAGGCGTCAGACCTGAATGCTCACCGCATTAGTCACATGGCGCACTGACGTCATTTTTTTGTTGCTGTCTAATGTTTAACACCTGTATTGATTGTATGACATGGTTGTATTGCTGAGGCCAGCTGCCGCAATGTGCAGCAACACTGCTGTCCCCGTATATCTTCACAGCTCACGCGTGGCACCACCTGCTGATTCAGTGTCTATATCGTTACATGTGATTTATAGTGTTGTTACTGTTTAAACTTACTGTTTCATTGATTCTTGTTACTCTTATTTCCTGTGGATGATTAATATATACTTTTCAGCCTTGCTGGACTTTGATCACACAGGTTGTTTAATTATGACTTGTTTATCTTATCTTTACCATTGTATCATGCCATCAAATTTGAGAGCTGCACACTGTGGGCAACTTGTGTGAGACAATTTTGCAAAAACATAACGTGTTCTGGCGAGGCGGTTTGCACTCACAGCATGCGTGCTCCCGGTTTGAATCCCCAGGCAGGGAATGCAAATGTGAGTATGATTGTGATGGTCTGCAACCTGTTCAGGGTGTACCCCACATCTTGACCAATGTCAGCTGGGATTGCTTGTAACCCCGCCTGCGACCCTCCCAGCAATAAGATGTATGGATATGATATGTGTTCCCTAAAAGACAGGTTGAGTCTTTATACTCGTTTCTAAGTGTTTGTTTGTGTCGTTGTTTTTCACATCAATGACCCATTTCAAGTAGCACTATTTTAAAGCACAAATGATAAAGTAATTATTTTGTGTAAGACTACAGCAGTTATTAAAAGTCATAAAGTGTTATCTTTAATATCTCTAATTGTAATCATTGGTGCTTATAGGCACACTGCAGTCAATGTTTTTTTTGGCTTTAACTTTTTTCTGACAGAGGGTTAATCGTGGCCCTGCTATTATTTCTTTTTCTGCCTCTGGGTATCCACTTCTTTCCTCATAACATTTATTTCTCACAGTGCTGCTTGTTTTTTTGTTTTGTTTTTGTCAATGACCAAACCTTTTGTTATTTTAGACTCAGTTATCATTAAAACAAGCTGTGCCTTTCCCTTCCCCGTCCCAGTTCTTCATTCACATGTTCACGGCGCAGTTCCCTGTTCGTCCGCTGGGGGGCGCTCTAGCCCGCCGCGCCGGTTACAGCGCGTTGCGTAAAAGCGTCGATGCCGAGTCATGGATAGCTGTTGTCTAACGCGCACGCGACAAGGACAAGCGCCCTAGGCTCGAGTCCACGCATTCGGTGGTAAGGATGACTGACGCATGGCTGTGGAGTGTCGCCGCTCTTTGCAGCTTTTAACCCCATTAGTGCTCGTTCGCGGAAAGGCGGCCCCGGGCTCCCCAGAAGCCGGCTAACAGCGACTGGAAGGCGGGCTGGTTTCTCCGGGGTAACCTCTGCTGCTCTGAGTTCAGGTTGGCAGCAGCCTGTGTGTGTCTGCCTAAGGAAGTAAGGAAGCACTGCTTAATTCGTCTTTCTTTTTTGCCCGTTAAGCTGCTCGTTTAACCGGTGTGCACCTTGAGATTAGCGTGTCTGTCCTGCGCTGATAATGTGGTGGGGTTTATATTTTTAGCAGCAAATGTTTATTGGCTCCCTCCTTTGACAGCATGTAGCCAGTAGTGTTTATGTGTTATGTGTTTCCTTTGCAAATACCACTATCCTAGTAATTTGTTCTTTGAACATACAGACTCTCTATACTTTTGTTCTTGCTCTAAATACTTTGTTTTTTCTGTGTCTAATAAACTCCTTTTTGTCCCCGGCTGCAGCCATGGTGTTCATACAGAGCTACTGTGGATCAAATGTCTCCATCTCCCACACCTGGGTGGATGAGGGCATCTCCCCCTGCTTCTACTTCACACTGGTCCCCACCATCCTGCTCACCATCGCCTTCTTCCTCGGCACCCTGCACTGCATATGCTACCAGAAGTATGGCACCACCATGGAGCCCAAGTTCATCCCGCGCTCCCGCCTGTACGGCTTCCAGCTGGCCACCTCCGTCCTCCTCCTGCTGCAGTTCCTGGGTGGAATGGTGTGGCGCTTTGCCACGGCGGCAGAGCTTCCAGGCTACGTGGTGCTGTACGGCTGCTTCTGCGTGGCCGCGTGGGCGTGGGCTTTAGCCACGCTGAGGGTGGAGAGGCGGAGGGTCCTGCTGATGGACCGGACAAGGGGCCACAGCACCGTCCTGCTGGTGTTCTGGGCTGTTGCTTTCTCAGCTGAGAACCTGGCCTTCGTCTCCTGGTACAGTCCTCACTGGTGGTGGGCCCTGGAGGGCACCGAACAGCAGGTGGGCGCACGCCTCGCATCACAAGAGATCTTGTTTTTGATCGGATGGAAAGAAAATAGACCTGGCTGTGCTTTGTGTTTTGTTTCCCAAGTGTGTGTCTTTTAGAATTTTTTCGAGCCAGGGTTAATTTATTGTGTAATGTCCACTCACCAACCCCACTTCCCTGAATGCACAGTCATTATGATAAAACCTTTTCAAAAAGTGGGTCAAAGGCTGGTTTTGTGTTTAGAATAAGTGTTTGTCTTTGGAGGCACTCCTGTCATAGCTATGCAAAGCGTTTTAAGGATAATGCATACACCCAAACGGCACAACACTGCGTTTTCTCTCTGATTTTTGCTGAGTCATTGCTTTGTCAGACACTCAATTCCTAAACTCTCCACTGTGAGCCAATCAAAGCAAAAGAGAAAGGTTTGCCCCTCCCACACTGAGTCAGAGGCAGCTAGCTCCACTCTGTGTTTTCATAGCCGTAAGCATGACTTGACTTTTTTTTCTTTTATGGAGCTTTTGTCATATTTTACCTGTCTGTCAGAAAATGTGTTCATTATTATCATTTAATATTATATTATATTATATTACAGCACACATGGTATCCAGCTTTCACTTTTTAATTAATTAGTGGTTATGTTTTGTCCACATGATGGTGAAATGTGAATTTAAGGAGTAGTTCCCAGATTTAGCCCTGCTTAATTGACTTGTTTATTGTTGCATAGCTGTGTTCTGAGCATTAGATCCACGCCTTTCCCCCGTGGCTGCTGCAGCTGGTTTATCCGTGATAGGGCATCCGTGTTGATCCTCTTGAACATGTCTTTGAACCCATCAGGTGAAATTCGCTCTGTGGCTGATCCGCTACAGCAGCACTGGGCTGCTGTTCTTCATCGGCCTCAAAGCGCCGGGGCTGCCTCGGAGGCCTTACATGCTTCTGATAAACGAGGACGAGCGGGATGTGGAGAACAGTGGGCAGGTAGCAACACTGAGCTCCCTTTTTTGTTGCATTTGCACTTTTTTGTGGAAATAGTTTGTGTTTAAGGGTATGTTTCTGTGCATCAGAGTCTGTTAGGAAGAAGAGAGGAGAACCAGTCCACCTGGCAGGGGTTCAGGAAGAAGGTGGTCCTGCTCGTCCCGTACATGTGGCCTCGGGGCAATATCGTTCTCCAGATCCTGGTTCTCTTCTGTTTGGGTCTACTGGGAGTTGAGAGGGCCATTAATGTCTTTGTACCTATTTACTACAAAAATATTGGTACGTGAAGCTCCCTCTTTTTCATAGACCTCTGATTCAGAGGTGCCTCTTTAGTTAAACAGCTGTTAGAATATGCAGCCACACAATCATAATCCTATTCCCCCCTTTACCCTCTTTCATAGTGAATGAACTGACTGATGGCAGCAGCTGGCGTACTCTGGCCACCACAGTGTGCATTTATGTGTTCTTCAAGTTCCTGCAGGGTGGAGGGGCAGGTGAGCCGGGCGTATGGGTTCTACCCCGTAGGAAAGTATGGCATAAATGAACTAAGGCCACCTTTAACAGTTTTCTCCTCTGATCAGGTGCGTCAGGCTTTGTCAGCAACATGCGCTCTTTCTTCTGGATCCGGGTGCAGCAGTACACCAATCGGATGGTTCAGGTTCGTCTGTTCGCCCACTTGCACTCCCTCTCTCTACGCTGGCATCTGGGACGGAAAACCGGGGACGTGCTGAGGAGCATTGACCGCGGCACCTCGTCCATCAACAGCTTGCTCAGGTCAGACCTCGCTGACGTGACCTTATTGGCCACAGATGGGATGGCCTGAATTTGAATCAAATATTAAATGTACCAATAAAAGCACAATTTGGTTTAAGATCATTTGTTAAATGAACTACTTTTTTTGTGTGTTTTTTTTCACAGCTACATCGTTTTCAGCATCTTTCCCACTATTGCTGACATTGTCATTTCCATCATCTACTTCATCACTTTTTTCAACGCCTGGTTCGGCCTCATCATCTTCATCTGCATGGCGCTCTACCTCAGTAAGCGGGGGCTGCTACACCAAAGCTATCTACCAGATATTAATGGTTAACCTTGATATGATCTGCAGAAGATGAAAGTGTATTGAAGCTTTCTTAACGCTGGTTGATGATCCCCAGCTCTGACCATCATCATCACCGAATGGAGAACCAAGTACAGACGGGACATGAATCAGCAGGACAACAACGCCAAGTCCAAGGCTGTGGACTCCTTGTTAAACTTTGAGACGGTACATGACAACATTAGCCTTCTCTTTCACTGAGCCGTGTGAGAATTACTCCGACATATTCACGGGGCACCTTGAGCTAGGTTTTTAAAATTTGACAGGATTCGTCTAAACTGTTGACAAGTCAAAGTTTGACTTGCTTTGTCTCTCAACAGGTGAAGTACTATAACGCAGAGAACTATGAGGCCAGCCGTTTTGAAGATGCAATCTTGAAATATCAGGTAGGTCAAAGGTATTCATTCATCACAGTTGACGCACAAGAGACATTAGAGCTAGGCAGACTGTTTTCTCCCTAATAAGACATCTCCCAGTCAAAGGATGTTTTGTAGTGGTTTGACAGGAGTCAGAACAGGCTTGTCTCGTTCTGTCACATGGTGCCAGCCAGGGAATCCAGGCATATTTTTCAAAATTTGACATTTGTAGGTCAAAACAAACGCAATAGGTTTTAGTTATTTCAGGTAAAAGATGCTCAGAAGTTGGAGTTAAGAACTGAGTTGTGTCAGGTTAAGCATGCAGCCGAAAAAGAAACGAAAGAGAGAAAAAAGTTAACCTCACAAGAACTAAATCTACTTTGACACTAAGGAGCTCCCTTCTACGTCTTTGTCCCTGTGTCACTTGTTGCTAGCTTTATGTTCATGGACGTCTTCTGTTTTAGGCTTCGGAGTGGAAGACGCAGGCATCCCTGGCCTTCCTCAACCAAACGCAGAACCTCATCATCGGCTCGGGGCTGCTGGCGGGCTCCTTACTCTGCGCTTACTTTGTCACTGAAGGAAAGTTTCAGGTGCTGAAACAGTTTATCCCTCCAATTTCAGATATTCAAATAAGTTGATTTGTCTTTATTTTTTACCAAATGATTGGAAGAGCTGTCCTTATCTAAATCATCTGACTATCAGCACTTTCATTTTGTCTCAGGTTGGGGATTTTGTTCTCTTTGGTACTTACATTATCCAGCTGTACACTCCTCTAAACTGGTTTGGAACTTATTACAGGTAAGACGATGCAAAATAAGCTTAGAATACTTTGTTAAGATTCTTTCTATCTGTTTGAAAGGTAGACAGAGGTTGCCATTTTCTTCTGGAATTTGCACTTCCAAGCACACAAAGTAACGGCTGTGGCACAGCCCTGCGGGAATGTGTAGCTTTACCTGATTTATCTTTTCTTTGCCCCTGCAGAATGATCCAAAATTCTTTCATTGACATGGAAAGCATGTTCAAACTTTTTGAGGAAGAGGAAGAGGTACGTGTCAAACAAAGAAATGTGGGTGTCTTATTCTCCTGCTGTGAGCTTTCCTAAAGTTCTGTACACTTTTCCAGGTGAAAGATGAAGTAAATGCAGGGAATCTGCTGTATAAACTGGGAAGAGTGGAGTTTGAAAATGTTTACTTCAGCTACACAAATGGGTTTGTTCAAGATGCTTTACTTATTGTAGCCAATGTTTTGCAAAACAGTCATAAGTAATTGTGAGGACACGCCTTAGCATAACTCCTAACTACTTTTGTTTTACAGCAAGGAGATTCTCAAGGATGTTTCCTTCACAGTTTTTCCAGGACAGTCAGTTGCACTGGTATGACAAAACTGTTTGTTTTTTTTCCATTAATGTTCTCTAAGACGTCCTCTGTATTAACTTTTTTAAAAATATTTTCCCAAAGGTGGGACAGTCTGGGTCTGGGAAAAGCACCATCATGCGACTGCTTTTCCGTTTCTATAATGTCCAGGGAGGCTGCATTCGTATTGATGGCCAGGACATCTCCAAAGTAAGTGTTGGGCACCAAAGTAACTAACCAAGAATAGTTTTTTAAAACTTGTATTATTCAATAAATCATGTATGAAAGGTTTATAGTTAATTTAGGATCATAATATAGTCACTAAACTAGAAGTGTAATTTGCCTTCCATAATCTTTGTGAATATTTGCATGTTTGAAAGTAAATTCTATTGTACAGTGTCATAAATAAATGTAAGTTTAAGTTAAACATTTTACAGAAAAGGCATTTCATTTTTGACATTGTCTCTCCTCAGGTAAAACAAACATCTCTGAGAGCTCACATTGGCGTGGTGCCCCAGGATACTGTCCTTTTCAATGACACTATCAAGGAAAACATTCGTTATGGTCGCATCTCAGCCTCTGACCAGGAAGTGGAGGAGGCTGCCATAGCCGCTGATATACATGAGAAAATCATGACCTTCCCTGAAGGTAATCCCTGCTTTTCTAATTCTTCTGTAAGCAGCATGCCTCACCTCTCTACTTTTGTAAAACTGAATTATTTATTTAAATAAACCGAATGTATTCGGAGCGTTGTGTTTTAGGGCTGAATAGTTGTAATTGCAGCCACTCTCCTGTATTTCTGGTAGGTTATGATACACAGGTTGGTGAAAGGGGTCTGAAACTGAGTGGAGGAGAGAAGCAGAGGGTGGCAATCGCCAGAACTATCCTAAAAGCGCCACAGATCATCCTGCTTGATGAGGTTTGTGACTGCACACACAGCTACAGTGTCCCTGTCCACGTGCACCGGGTCTCATGACTCAGACAATCATCTGTTCAGAAACCCGTTGGACAACCCGTTTTATCTGTGGCGCAGCTCTGAGCACTTATACTGTCCGCTGTTACTTGAAGTGTACTAACAGAGTCTGTCTGTAGGCGACATCTGCTCTGGACACGCAGACGGAACGCAACATCCAGGCCTCGCTGGCTAAAGTCTGCGCCAACCGTACAACCGTTGTCGTCGCCCACAGGTCAGATGTCCAGCTGACCGTTGTATCCCTAAAGGCTTAGTTTAGTTAGTTTTCTTTCAGCTTGGTCATTTATTTTTGTATTTATCTATCTAAAGATTGTCCACCATCATTGGAGCTGATCAGATTCTGGTTGTTAGTGATGGCCGGATCGCAGAGCGAGGGCGGTAAGTGTCCCCTTGAAACTGCCTTTTATGCACTTTGTTCTCTCAGTTATAAGCTACTAACAGCCATCTCTCCACCCAAGGCACGAGGAGTTGCTCCTCAAAAGAGGCCTGTATGCAGATATGTGGATGAAACAACAGCAGGCCCAGGACTCGGATTCCTCATCAGACACAGAAGCCAAAGATCGCAAATCTGAGAAGCTGCAGCCATCGTCAACCTCATCGGTGCCCCACGGGCACTGAATGTGTTTCTCACTTTGTCAAACAGCCACATTTATTACTCCTATTTTCTCTAAAAGGTGACACTGGAAACAGGTGAGATGTTCTAGGCCATTAAAAAAAGGGAAGGTGCCTTAAGAAGTCAGGAGGCAGAAACACTATGTTCAGATGATCAGCCTACACACTTTGAAAAAGTTCTCATTTCTCTGATTGTACCAAGTCTTCATAATTTCACAATAGCTCAAGAAAGATTCCGGTGACATAACTTCATTTGAACAAGAGAACAAAAAGGTATTTAGATTGATTGTGTTAAGCTGAAACATCTTATTAGATGCACTTTTATTGATTTATGCTTTTATATTTGGCATGGATTGATTTGTGTTACCTGTCATAACCTGAAGTGACATTTTATTTTCCCACTGGAGCTTTAAAGAGACTCAAACAAAAAACTAAGGCCTCTTATGGTGTTGGAAAGCTGACGATTCTGGCTCCCAAAGAGCAAACATGAAGGGTAATGAGTTTGTACAAGCTGTCAGGGAACTTTTTTTTCTTTTTCTTTTTGGCTTTTGGTTGTTAAATTTCAGCTCTGTTTTATTTAAAATTGTACTGTTTTTAGGAGATGTGCTCTCACTCAAACAAGGGAAGGTATAGATGTATTGATTATATGTCAGATCATGTCAGCTAAATAGTCAATCATTTGTACATACGTCCTAAATGCTGTTTATTACATATTTATGTGTCAAGTTGTACAATCTGTCTATCTCGCCAGTTGGCAGTTAAACTACAGCATTTGCTTAGCTGACAATTCAAAATTCTGTAATGAAAATATGTATAATCTTATACTTTATTGCTGAATATTCTAAGTTCATAAGCGCAAAGAAAATGTACAGTACACAGTCATAGACTCATTTCTGTGTATCATTCGCTCTTTTTTTCTACCTCACAGAAGGTATGTATTACTATACAGTTGTGTAAATACTCAGATTTGTCATGTAATTTCTGAATAAACATTCAAGTTTTCCACGTTTCAGGCTGTGAAAAAGTTGGCCCTTTTAAAGTTTTGTTTCGCCAAGTTTTTGGATCGGATTGTTTTAAAGTTAATGTCTGCTAACTTTAAATAAAGAAAACGGCCTCGCACAATTGCCGGTGGAGTTGTGTACTTGTTGTGTAACTGGGTACACGCAGCACGTGGGTCTGTCTGGAACAGGAAGTAAACATCTGGCGGCAGCAGTCGTCACTGGCTGTCCCGCTTAGGGCGTGTTCCAGGCCGATCTTCACCAAACAGGCGGAGGGCCGGGCAAGCTTGACCTATCTTCCGTTTTCGGCGGACTAATGCTCATTAAAAATGGATTTCGACACGTTATTTAACGAAAATTCGTTTCAGTTTTCGGACTTCCAAGAGTTTACGGTATGTTGTCGACTACAGACCGGGCCAGGCCACCAAACCGAGCTAGCTTATGCTAAGGATATTAGCTTCCTGTCAATCCGATCGTAAGGGTAAATTCTAGCTTGAAGAAATATTAACAAATGAGGATTTCTCATTTAATTAGCTCAATATGTTCTGGAATGTAGACCGTTTTATTATTTGTTCCGTTGTTATCGCTTAAAACATGGACAACTCAATGCTACTGGCTAGCTGGTTGTGTTCAGGGCCCTAACTTTAGCTAATGTGAAATAATGGGAAGTGTGCTTAATGCGTTTGAAATAGGTTTAGCAAGTGCAACATTATTAGTTAATGATACATTTGATGATTGCTTCATGTGGCAAAGTTGTGCTTCTCAGAACAGTTGAAATGATATTAACCTTATTCCTTCAAGTTAACCACTTTCAAGCTAATGCTAACAACATGTGAATTGTTCTTTCAGTTTCTTCCTGCACACCAAAAACTGTCAGAACGGGTGAGAAAAAGACTGTATTATGGCCTGGACACAGATGTTTCTTTAGATGCCCTCTCTTGTCCTGTTACAGGTGAGTTTGTTACACTGAGGCCATTTAACATCTGTATGTCACAGCTGGACTAAGTGTGTTTCTATGGTTTGGTGCCATGTTGGAGTCATCCTGATCAAAAGAGCATTTTTGCTAGGGCTTATCTGGACTAGAACATTATTATGATGCTATTTAACTTCAGTTCAGCATGAGTCAAGCCAACAAGTGTAGTACTTGATAAATATGTTGAGCCAATTAGAGAACGTAGCTCAGATGAATGATTTTGAGTCTTTTTTAAATGTATTTTTATGCTTCCTGGGATTCCAGACATTGCTGTCGAAATCTTCCAGAAATCCGCCCCAAGCCCCATAAGAAAGCTCCAGAAGAAGTATGCTGCCCATGTTGCAAGGTTTGTACTGTGTCCGGAGTCTGTACCCTCACTGGGTACAGACATTGTATTGTACACATTGTATCTTGCGTTCGGTGTCCCAATAATTTTCTGGTTATTCAGGGAGGCCTGCATCTCGCCGTGCGCCATGATGCTGGCTTTGGTTTACATCGAAAGGCTCAGACATAGAAACCCTGAATATCTGCAGAAGATCTCTTCCTCTGACCTTTTCCTGATCTCAATGGTATGTGTTTGTGGTTGGAGGCTCTATCTAAATGGGCCACAGTGCTATTTATATCATGTGCTTAAGACTGGTGGGGTTGTACTTTTGTTTTTAAAGTAGCTTTGTGAATGGGAAGAACCAGCTGACTTTCTCCCGTTTCTAGATGGTTGCCAGCAAATATCTGTATGATGAAGGAGAGGAAGAAGAGGTTTTCAATGATGAATGGGGAGCAGCTGGGAAACTGGACGTGCAAACTGTCAATAGCCTGGAGATGAATTTCCTAAATGCCATTGTAAGTGGCCTCATGTGTGTCCGTGTGTGTGCCTCTGTTTGGGTTTGGTTCACGCTCTTGGTCTCAAACTTTGGGTTGTCTTTTTTTCCAGGAGTGGAGCCTCTTCACAGAGCCAACTGACCTATTCGATGTCCTAAGCCATCTAGAAAGCAGGTTTGTGATGGTGTAAACTAATTTACCAACTACATGAGTCAATACGATTAATCATTCATATTAACTTTGGGATGTTTATTTCCAGCATTGCTGAACGTCAGGGGTTGAAACGTGGCTGGTTCACCTACACTGACCTGTGCGTGCTGCTGGAGCAGTCTGCCTGGAGTCAAGCCCTCACAGCCATCTATCAGCACTTTACAAAGGTCAGAGGGCATGCCTCTATTCATGGTCCTTAAAATTTACAATCCATCCCAAACCAGTAAAAAAAGAAGCATAAAGTCAAAAGTGAGTCGATAGTTTCGTTTTTAGGTTTGATTGAAACCTTTCACTTGATTTTATCTTCAGGTATCCTGCATGCTGGGCCTGGTCTATCTCACCAGTTTGGCTGGTCTTATTGCTACCAGCGCTGTGCTGCACCAGCTGAGTCTCTGCAGAGGTGGCCAGTCCCTGCCCTCCCCACCAGCTGAGATCAGCCTCTCCCATCTCCAGACTTCCACAGTAAATCCAGAAGCTCCTGCCCCACTCCACCGGCCCTCCTGCTGTCTTCTGGCCAATAAAAGTCTGAAAAGTCAGAGCGGTGAGCTGGAAATCGGCCACTATCACAGAGAAAGTCCTCCAGCAGTGTCTGCGCAGACATCTGTTTTGTGTCTGTGGGGCACTCTGCTCACCTCCCTGAGTCAAATCCATCCTGAAAGGGCGTCTAAAATGGAGGCCATCTGCTCCGGCTGTCCAAACCTCCTTCGTCTCCAGTGTGGGTTTGGAAACACCTCAGCACTCCTCAGTCCTGATCCCCTCGATGACCGTGGTCAGCTATCGGCGGCGTCTTCAAGCCTCCGCAGATTTGCAGACCAGAGTCTGGACTTTCAGTCTGGAGGGCCTCCGCCCGTGCCGCTGCGCCCGCTCCACCCGGGGTGTCTGCTGCCCATCGACAAGGTCCAGGCTCTGCTGGTGCCCGGCTAGACGCGCCCCCGCCCATCAGCGGCCAGCTCTTGGTACTGAACCAGCACTGTTTTAAAGGCTCAAGTTCCCCAAGTTGTGTTTTTTGTTCACATCTGGGTGAGCTGAGGCAGCACAGGGTGACTATCCTTTTCTTGTGCTGCAGAATAAATCACATGCAAAACGATAGATGCTCTTAATTTCTAGCTTTACTGCAGCTTTCACAGGATATATGGAGATGGTTTCATGTGTTCTTCAGTAGCAGCAGAACCTCTTTGTTTCGTGTACTTCCCCGAGTTCAGATCTGTCAGGTATGATGAACGGCCTTTGGAATTCATGTGTTTTGAGTTACTATATTGCAGCTGTATATTTCAGGAGGTAAATGAAAGTGAGTGAAGGTTGCACAGCAAATCCTATTGGTTGAGGGCTTCACAGTAGGTTTTTTTGGGGGGGGCTGTATGAGAATAAGGGACTAAACTCATCTATTCTACACTTCTCTCACCTTTATTTATGCCACGTTGCCATATGTCCTCCGATGCATGCTTAAAGCACTGATTTTTGCACACCACACGGGGTTTTCTCCAAAGCTCCATGGTAACTTCCCCTCTTAATAGAGGACAGGATCAGAAAAAGGAAGGGGGGCTTAAGGCTGTGTCTCAGCAGCTTAAAGAATGTAGAAATAACTAGTTCTATTTTATAGTTAGTTTATTCTCTCAGCTGGCAACAATATTCATCAGGTTTTACATGGTGACAGGATGCCGTGTGGTTTTAGAACTTCCCCTGTTTTGGAGTCTTCTGTTGAAGGGATGGACTCCAGGGCTTTCATGCAGTTCATATCGTGTTCATTACGTTTTGTGTTTGGCATGTTAAAAACTAACTGCAGTGTTTTTGCACATCAGGCTCTGTTTAAGTCTCAAAAGCCATTTCATTGGTTATTATTACTATTCTGTCTCCATATCTTTGAAACACCAGAGGGAAACGAAATACCTTTTATGTGAGCGATTCCTCTTGGACATTTACTTTGTTATCGAACCTTTGACAAATGGCTATGAGCATTTGAATTTGATACAGTTTTGAGCACAGACATTTAATTTTGTACACAATGTAAAAAATATATGATCTGAAACTGTTTCAGAAAAAAACTACAGGTATTAATAAATGCTTTTCTTTTAGCAAATTATTGTTCGTTGTCTCTTTAAAACACAACTGTCATGAATTCAGACAACGTTTCCATCCGCATTGACCTTTCTAACACCACTTTTTCTCAATTTTTAGCTTGTGAGAGTTCCACCGAGCCACACTGGACACATTCAGTCATTTGTTTGTCCCAAAGCTAAAACATCTCAACATGACGGAAGGCACAATGTCTGTAGGCAGGAGGGCGGTTTGCTCTTAACGGAACAACATGGAGGGTCCCTCCCCTCTGAACCAGTGCCAACTTCTTTTGCCCCTCCCCTGTTTCAACCCTGTCTGAACACATACCACTCAAGAGCTCCTAATATAGACCCAACTGCTTCGAAGAAAAGGGTAACAAATCACTCCAGCATTTGCTGCTTTGAAACCAGCTTTTTCCCATGGAATTATGGAGCCTATTTCACAGGTGAAATGTCTCTTTAGGATGACTCCGCTCTGGGCTGTTCCGTGCAGTTCGAGCTGTTACTGAAACAACTAGTCTTATCAAAGGATTGCAAGCAGTTTTGAAAATCATGTGGAGAATGTTGCACTTGATGTGTTGTAGGTGTCATTGTCAGAAGAGAAGCAGAGACTTCAGAAGCAAGGTATGTGTCCAAAGGCCACACATTTGGTTTGGATCTCATGGATGTGGTAAATGTAGCTGTTCAGATCTGTCCGTTTCCCTCTGATGAGAACTCATTTCTAACTTCTGTGCATGAATATTTCCACGTCCTCCTGCACTCCCTGTCAAAATAAGTGCATTGCTCGGATGTTGTATTTCTCATAGAGGCCGACGCTACAGTCTACTTGAATTTCATGAAAAGTCACCGTTGCTACGATGCCATTCCAACCAGCTGTAAACTGGTCATATTTGATACCACATTACAAGTAAGGTTGTAGCTTTTCTATGAAAACGCCCCCCCAAGCATTCTGTTAGCATATGTTGATTTTGCGTTTGCTACTGATGGCATGTCTCATATCCTGTGGCATCAAAGCTGTTGTGTACATTGTACTTGTTGTGTCTGCTGATTCACTACAGCTCTCCTGAAGTCTGACTGTGACTTTATCCTCACCAAAAGGTAAAAAAAGGCTTTTTTGCACTGGTTGCAAATGGGTTGAGGGCAGCACCATTATGGGACAGCAAATTGCAGCGATTTGTGGGTGAGATATATATATATTTGTATATATATATATATATACACATACAAACATATATATATTTACATGAATCTATGGCTGAAACCATTCCCTGTCACAGGTATGCTGACAATAACAGATTTCATCAACATCCTCCATTGCTATTACAAGTCTCCTCTGGTGAGCATCAGACACTTTGACAGTTTTAGCCTTAAAAAGTTGCTCATGTTTGAGTTTGGTGGCATTTCTTAAAACTGTGTCAGGTCTTTATTGTAAAACGCGGACACTAATAAAGCAATCAAACTGTCACAAAATATAAATGGATTCATAAGTGAGCATCTTCCGAGCTGTTCTTTCATGAGCTGTTAGTTTTTGGATTTTGAACCTGGGATTCATGTCAGTTTTTCCTCAAAAGGTCCAAATGTATGGTTTGGAGAACCACAAGATCGAAACATGGAGAGGTGATTCACTTCGAAGTAAATGACCAACACAGACGAATGGCATTATCTGTACACACACGTTTCAATGAATTTCCATTTGAGCTGTCCCCGTTCCTTTGTCTAGATGTCTACTTGCAGTATCCCAATCCATTCCTCATTAGTATTTCTCCAGAGGCCAGGTCAGTGCACACATCCGCTACATTGAATTCTACTGACAGTTCCTTCAAAGCAATAAATACCTCTGCTGCCTCTCTTCCTCTTTAGCCTCTTTGACGCCATCTATTCTTTACTAAGACACAAGATCCACAGGCTGCCTGTGATCGATCCGGAGTCTGGGAATGTCCTGCACATTCTGACCCACAAAAGGATCCTCAAGTTCCTCCATATATTTGTGAGCTTATTCTGCCGTTTACGCTGGTAAATACATGATGCCATACATGGTCTTTGGCAACTGTTTTAATGTTTGGATACTTTCAGGGGAAAAAGCTCCCCAGGCCGGCATTTATCCAGAGGCAGATCCAGGAGCTGGGAATAGGAACTTTCAGGAACATTGCGACCGTCCAGGAAACGGCGTCACTTTATGAGGCCCTCTCCATATTTGTGGAGAGGCGGGTGTCGGCCCTCCCAGTGGTGGATGAACAAGGTATGCCTTATATCTCCCAGCAATCACCAGCATCCATGTTGATTTCAGCATCCAACACTTTCTTTCCCCAGGTAAAGTGATGGCCCTCTACTCAAGATTTGATGTCATTGTGAGTATCGGAGTGATTTTCTAGCTCTAGACTATTTGTCACAGTGCTGTGATGTTTTCTTTTTTTTTTAATCCTCTCCATCAGAGGAGAATGTGTTGTCTTTCTCAGAAATGATCTTTCCTCTATGACAGAATCTTGCCGCTCAGAAAACGTACAACAATCTGGACATGACGATGCGGGAGGCGGTTCGCAGGCGCTCGTGCTACATTGAGGGTGTGATAAAGTGCCATCTCGATGAAACTTTGGAAACCATCATTGACCGAATAGTCACTGCAGAGGTAGGCGACTCCCTGACCTCTATCTGAGTCCTGATCACAGAGTTACAGGAGGTCATTCCTCTGCCCCCCCCCCCCCGTCCCAGGTCCATCGGCTGGTCCTGGTGGACAGGGCTGATGTGGTAAAGGGCATCATTTCACTGTCGGACCTGCTGCAGGCCATGGTCTTAACCCCTGCTGGGATCGATACCCTTCTGTCCTAGCACTAGATGAAAAGAGGTCCTCCACTCCTCCTCTGCCGCCTGTGAAGACCTGAGTCCGTGCAGTAAGCGAATACAGGTGAGCTCATGCATCTCTCCCACCTCAGTCACCTCTAATCACCCACACTCTACAATCTTATGTTAAAAGAACCTCAGCAGCTTGATCCAAAGCCTTCTTCTTATTCTAGGAATCCCAGTTGCTCGTTTGAATGGTGCGATTGGTGTTTGTGTCTTTTAGAAACTGACAGGAAAGGAGAGATAACTGGTGGAGAACTACCCAGCCTTTGGAGGTGTTTATGCTAAGATGTCTTCCACAATCAAAGACTTTGGTCAAATATTTATGTACAATTAAGTTTGATGCCATATTTCATCTTTAAAGAACCCCAACGTACTATCCATTTTTGCTCAGTCTGTCCAAATGAATTATGTTTACTTAATATGATACTCTACTAAATATGATGTGTAATAAATGTATACCAACACCTGCCAGTGTTTTTCTCTGAGTGCACCCTGAAACCCCCCCAGAATGTCTCTTACAGCATATAGAGCTGACATTTTATAGGTTCACCTTTAAGTAGCATCTCAGAAACCCTAAAGCAACTGTGCTACACTCGGGCTTTCTTCCACCCTGTCCTCCAAACACGGTAAACAAGGAAACACGTGACTACATATTTTTTTTCTTATCTGTGACGGGCCTTAGGATCCGACCGCCCATCTGTGCGCCCATCATTGCGACATCAAGTCCTAAAAATATTGCTCATTAGAGCGGAAGTCGAGGTCTTCACCAAAATAAATTCCCCTTTGTGTCATAAACGATGAAAAATATATTTGTGTTTGTCAAATTTGGCCCAAAGGTCATTAGGTGGGCCTCACTGGGACCATGACTTGTTTATTTATGTCTTGATTGTGATCCAAATGTGGCTGAGCTCAGGCAGCATTTCCTCTGAGATGATGTCATCTTTTTGGAAAAAGGTAAGCCACATTTGGCCAAAGCTATCATTATTGTGTGATTTAAAAAATCCAAATGATATTTTGTATTGTTTATTGTCTAATAAAATCATAAATCCTACCCAGATATATTTAATATATTTCAGTATTTAGCCAGAGAGTGGTTATAGACTCACTTTTTGTGCAGTATTGTCTCTTTTCACTATGTTTTAGTTTGTTTGGTTTAGTTCACGACATATAAATGCACATGCATGTTTTTTCCTGCAATTTCTATATTTGTTTCTATTGCTGTAAGTTAATTCGACAACATTTGTATTTTTAATGGTTCAAATAAACTCCTCCTGGTCAGCTGGTTGCGCTTGCGGGTTGCGGTCTGTCTTATTCGGAAAGTCTCCACCGGAAGTTGGAGTGAGTCAGCGGAAATTGACGCTGATCTTTCCATATACCCCGTGATCCCAAAACAACATAACAAAGTAAGGGGAAACATGGCGAGCGTAGAGGAGGCCAGAAGACGCCCCTCCATAACCTCCTCCTCCTCCGTCGGCCTGGAGGACCTGTTCCCCGCCGGGGCTTCGGAGCAGGCCTGCGGGGACGGGGACCCGGAGCTGGGGCGCCTGCGGGAGCGTCTCCAGGCTTGGCTTTCGCAGTACGAGCCCCTGCTGCTGTGGGTGCAGAGGCTGCTGGTGTGGGAGAGGCCGCTCTACAGCATCTCTGCCGCCCTGACGCTCAACACATTATTCTGGTATTCCGTTTGGCGTTTGTTTAATGTCGGCGCCCCGATAAGGCTGCTCCGAAGCTCACCATTAGCTCGCTGGCTAATGTCAGCGAGGATCTTCCGAATGAATGTCAAGATAAGTTAGCTAATCCCACGTCTTTAGCCTCGTGCTAACGTCGCCCGCGAAACCCCGTTTTAATACATTCGTCAGCACGGAAAAGTGGCGTCGTGTCGTCCAAGAAAAGGGGCTTGTTTTGTAAATTTGGCAACCAAAAGTATTTCGAGTTCGTAACACCTGTTAGCTGAGTAATTTTAGCAAACACATGTGTTGTGCTGAGAGCCCCGGGCCGCGTTCAGTGGCAGCCTGTAACTTTCGGTGGTCGCATAGTCAACAAAAAGTGCCAAGCCGGTGGACTAACAGGACCACGGTCCGACGTGAACGTTTGTGTTCGCGTTTGTGACTGTCACGTTGCTTTTGTGTTCGCAGGCTCCTGTCCTCCACCTCCCTGAGGCCCCTGTTCCTGCTGAGCGTGTCCCTGCTGGGACTAATGCTTCTGGAGAGATGGAAGCCAAAGCTGCCCATCATTACTGGTGAGTCCACACCTGCCAAACAGCCAGTCTGAGCCGTGGTCACTGCCAGGGCTCTGGAGCGGTCACGTTGAGATTTTCCTCTCAAAAATCCAGTGCTTGGTCCAAATTTCTAGTGAAAGAAATGCTGTAGCGTGCAGAAATGGCTAAAACATGCAAAACCAAAACATTTTTTAAGCTACTAAACACATTGTTTTGCAAATGATCTGCATCTAATGCTATTTTTATTTTGTTGCTTTCCTTGCAGTTCAACATGTAGATGCTCCCCTCGTCCAAAGGTGTGTACACCAAAAACTCACTATTTTATTCTCTGTGGCACATTTTGAAAATGTTTATGTCGTAATATTGCAAATTCCGGGTCGGATGTCCCTTGGCCGACTCTGCGTTAGGTTTCTCGTCCAGTCGGCTGTATTTGTGTTCACCTGTGTGTGTCTGTCTCCCCTGTCTTTGTTATTATGGAATGCAACCACTCCCCAAACATCTAAGTTCGTAGAGCAGTGCTCTTTATAGGTGGTAATTTAGTCTCCTTGTTTCTGTCTTTTGAGCTTTTTCTCGTTTGAACACAGTGAAACCATGCGTTCCGAGCAGCGTCTGCTCAGTATTCCCGAGCTGAGCCACCACCTCGCCGAGAGCTACCTGACCTGCTGCCTGTACATGCAGGAGATGCTACAGTACAAGCAGCAGAACCACGGCAAGGTACAGTCTGACCCTCAGCCATGTTTATTCCGAGTTTTCCAAAGGGAATCTAACATTTGAAATGTTGTCTCGTTTGCCAGTTCTGTGCAACGATGTGTAGTGGCTGTTTTGTGCTCGGCGTGGTGGGACATTACGTTCCAGGAATCATGATCTCTTATATCATAGGTGAGTCACGTCTTGTCTAATTGATATGCAGGAACACTGTCGGACTGTCTGGTTGTCATGACAGAACGAGGGTGTGTGGTTATGAGGGAAAATAGCAATCACTGGTATTTTTCTTTCTTTAGTCAGAAAGTCGGGCGGCATGGAGTAATCAGCTCTTTGTTGTTCTGCTTTTTCAGTCCTGAGCGTCCTGCTGTGGCCACTGGTGGTGTACCACGAACTGATACAGAGGATGTACACGGGCTTGGAGCCCATCCTGATGAAACTGGACTACAGCATGAAGGGAGAAACCGAGCACCGCCACCATGACAAGAGAAGTGAGCGTCCCAGACCGTCAAACAGGGCTTTGTCATTCTGCCTTTAAAGCGGCCTCTCCATCATTTGTACAGCAACGTGCGTTTTCCAGAAATGTGGGTATTTGTGTTTGTTTTATAGAGGTAAAGAAGGAAGTGGAGGAGGGAGACGAGCCCAGAGCGGAAACCGAGAGTGAGAGTGAAGAGGAGGAGGAATTGTCCTGTTTTGCTCCAACGGTACAAACCCAGCCGACAAATCGGTTTGCAGGACATAGGAGGAAGTCTTGTGATGGTGAAGACTGTCAGGTGGTGGTTAAAAGCGGGGTGGGGGTGCGGAGTTGGATGTAAAGCATGCTGAGGTCAGCGCTGACCTCTGGGAAGGCAGCAGTCCATTACTGGAACATCATGCTGTTGCTGGTGACTTTAGGGGTCAAGTTTCAAACATGAGCGCATGCCATTAGTGCATCTGAGGAATGTATTTACCTGTAAATAACTACATTGATGTTTTGCCTTATATTCACTTGCAGCAGATTTTCCATAGAGGGAGAGGACTATTTATTTCTGCAGCTCTATTTTATGAATTAGAAAAACACAGTTATGAACCAAACTGAGTCTTTGTGATGTTAAGAGTTGTGATGGCGTAGGGCAAGTCTTTTATGCTTTCTGTTATGCGTTATCATGGCTATTGTGGGTAAGAATGAAAGATGTTGAGGGATCTTGTGTGTGGTGTCTCTCTATCCTTCCTTTGGAACTTTTCCTGTCTCTGACCGGCTGTTGGTGCTACTTATGTAACCAGGTGGATGTGAAAACTACAGCTCTGGCCATGGCCATCACTGACTCGGAGCTGTCTGATGAAGAAGCGTCCATCTTGGAGAGTGGAGGCTTCTCGGTGTCCAGAGCCACCACTCCTCAGCTCACCGACTTGTCTGAAGGTAAATCACTCTCTTCGCAGTTTGATGAGGCTTTACATATTTATTAATTTCATTTGAAGCATCTCTGTCTGTTCCAGATTTAGACCAGCAGAGCTTCCACTGTGACCCAGAGGAGGCCTATCTGCGGGACCTCCCTGAGTTCCCCTCGGTTGAGGAGTTCCCGTCCATTGAGCACAGTCTGCTTCACTTTCCTTTGCGGGGCCCAGGTCAGGCAGACGGAGCCCAAGCGGGGGCCCAGCCCGAGGGGGAACCACTGAGCCCCGCCAGCCTCCTCATCCAGCACCTGGCGTCCCCTCTGCACTTTGTGAACACACATTTTAACGGACACGGCCGACCGCCCGGGGGGGAGGAGGCCACGCTGTCCGCTCCGGGCGCCCGGGAGGAAGCCGGGAGGCAGGAGGGGGAGGAGGAGGCAGCCGCGGTGCCCCACGGGGCGCAGCGCTCCTTGGAGGCGCTGAGCGAGGAGATAGTGAGCACCGCCATCTCCACCGTGGTCCAGAACACTCTGTCGGCCCTGCTGCGCTCCAGCGAGGCCAGCGAGGAGCCCACCCTGGCCGAGTTCCTCCCCACCGAAACCCCGCCCTGTGCTCTGGAGACCCCCGCCCAGTCTGCCGACGCCCCCGCTGACACTACCGCGGCTACAGCAGGACGGCCGGGTCCTGGCGAGCACCCGGAGGAGGCGGGCGCCGCCGCGGCAGCAGCCGGCCCCGGAGACCAGTTCCCCGGAGACCAGTTCCCTGGAGACCAGTTCCCCGGAGACCAGTTCCCCGGAGACGAGTATCCTGATGACACGCTAGTTCCCACCGAGGAGGAGGACTTTGAGCTTTTGGACCAAAGTGAATTGGAGCAGGTGGATGAGGGGCTGGACCTCGGCTCTGACAGACGGGTGGGGGGGGGGGCTCCAGACGCACCCCCGTCGCCTCAACACCCTCAGTCATAGCCGCCCTGCTGTCCCCGCCTTTAACCCCCACATTCAGCCGGTTTAGTTTTTATTTGTACGTTAAAACGTCATTGTATTCACACTATATAGAACGCATTAATCAAGGAGGTGGCATTAAATACTGTTGGTTGGCGGACGTGTGGCTGATGGGTGAGATACTCGGCGCGTTCTGCTCTGACGGGTTCACGTTTTAAGGATCGGCTCAGCTTCGGTACCCACATTGTTCCTTGTCTGCTGGTCTGACATCATCAGGCCGGTCAGAGCTCAGATGAACAGTTGTGGAGACGTCATTATTGTTGTCTCCGGGTTACAGTAATGATGCCTTTATTCTGCGATGCCTTAGCTACAGAACCCATCCACCACGGGTCATTGCAAAGCAGATGTATGTAGATGGTCTAAGAACAGTTGAGATACAGTATAACTATTAATATATGCTATAAATTATTTAATTTAATGCCCAGGTAATGAAACTTTACTAAAAAAATCTTGGAGGGAGGTTGGAATTCTATTTTATCCCCTCGGTTACCCATAATGATTGTAAAGTGTTTTAACTACACGTTGTGTGTCAAAGTGTGCATTGTTGTAAAATCTTCCCAGAGTGAGACAAAGCAAACAGGAATCCCTCACTACACTTCCAAGTTTTACAGATTTAAAAAAAAAAAAAAAAACTTCAGTCACCCGATGCCTGAAAATGGAATCTTTTGACATTCATGGATGTGGATGGCCGATAGATTTATACACATAAGTGACTTTCATGCTAGAAAAGACAGAAGAGTTAATGCGTTTCCTGCCTGTGACGGATGCCACATTTGGATTGTCATCTGTGAATAGAGCTCAGTTCATACATCCGCCTGTAAGTGATCCATATGTGATTGAATTTGCTCTCGACCTTAAAAAATGTTTTTAAAAAAGAGTTAGATGGCCCTGTGTACTAGCTGCACAGTCATCACTGGGATGTGTATCTTAATCAAACTGTCTTTGTTCATGCATGCGGTGCATCACGCATGTGTCAAAAGGTCCCTTTTCAAGAGTTGCTTTCTCTCATGCAGATTTTTTTTTTCTACTTCTTGAAGAAGCTCGTGCATCTGCAGGGATATATGAAGGAAACAAGAAAAATCTGCATTTGACATTAGGAAAGGCCCATTTCCCCTTTTTCCTCATCCACTTGGTCTCCAAAACTCAGGGGTGGGTTGTACAAAGTGAGCATAACGTTGCAGAATATGTATCCATTTCCTGATATGTGGTAGTGCACTGTATTTGTACTAACCTCTCCTTTTTCCGCAGTTGTGTATAGCATAGAGACGCAAAGCAAAGAAAAAGGAAAGTGTATTTTCTGCATGTAAAAACGGCACTTGTTCGGGTTCTCATTGTTAACTGACAAAGTACTGCACAAATTGTGAGTGGACGGGGGCGTTTGGATGCTTCTGGGTAAAAGAGCCCATAGATTGTTTTTTTTGTAGTACCCACGATGGGACTAAAAATGTGATGTTTTGAGGTCGACCCAGCTGTTAATAAAGATGGGTGGCAAGTGATGACATCAGATGTAGAGAACGATACCAAGAGACTAGTTTGTTTGGTCGTTGTGTGTTTATGTGTGAAGAATTCTGCTTTTTGAGCTCTCTCTATAAATATATACATTTAAGAAAGAAAATTAACTAACTGTACAATTTGAAAAAAAGGAATATATTTTCTAATTTCTCCTTTTTCCATAAAGTACTCAGTTTGATCTTTTAGGTCTGAACGTTTAAATGTGACGGGTGAGTTTCACATGGCAGATCAGATCTGTTGTCATTAAACTGGTCAATAAAACTGCACCTCCACCTGTGAAAGTAAGAGAATAAAAGGACAAACTGAAACAAACAGAAGATGTGGCCGTGCCAATGATCTCCCTCCGACCACTGCAGTCAGCCTCTTTTTTTATGTCTGTCAGATGTCTTTGTTCATGGCAGCCCGGCAGCTTTCTGATCCGAGTTCTTTTTCCTAGTAAGGAAAAGGAAACTTAATAGTTTTGAGTGCTGTCTGCGTGTTTTATCAAAGAAACTGTGATATTTACAATATGGAGTTTAGCATTGTCACCAACCTGCAGCAGCTCCTCTGCACAAAGCTGAAGTCGCCCCCTCAGCTGCTCCCCAACGTTCACCTCCATCAGCGGGGACCATTTTCCCTCTGTAAATGTAACCGGAACGGAGAAGACGATGCCATCTGGGAGGTCGTAAAAGCCTGGAGGAAGAGGAGCAGTTCTATCAACCCTAATGAGCAGGATGCATATTTCTCCCAGCGAATCAGTGGGCCCAGCTGTTTCCCACCTGGGCAAAGCACACCGACAGACAGGAGCTGGTCCGGAAGGGAGGGGCCGTTCCACGCCTCCAGGACCCTGAGGACTCCGTTGGCGGATGATGCAGCAGCTGCTCGGCCGGTCTTTGAGGCCACGGCTTTGCAGTGATGACGCACCAGGTGTTGAAAGTCCGTTTCCAACCACGTCCTGGTAAAGACAAGCAGCTGCAGACTGTTTGCTTTTTCCTTTTATCCCTGCACGGGCGTGTGTTTGCACAGGCTGGCACACAGCAGAATCTGCTCCCACCAGGTCGTGTGTGCTGGCTGGGTGGAGGAAAACATCAAACTGCTCTCTCTAACAAATGAGCCCCCGCGTGCTGGACGCAGGAGGCTGGAGAACATTTGCATATTGATGCTTGTACAAATGTTTCTGTTCATTGCAACAGACCTGTCGTGAAAAACCTCGAGCACTGCGTGAGAGAAGAAAGCTGGCCCTTTGATTGCCCCATCGTAGTTAAAAATCTTTGCCCTTTGCAGATCGATGTAGAAACCGCCGCTGATGTTCCCCCAAATGATGACGTCTGTGACATCTGCAGCAGAAGAAACGGTCAGTCTCCCACACCAGGTGCTCAGATGAAGGCCGAATGCTCAGAAACCCAAACGGATACCTGAGGACCTGACGTTCATCTGCTTTGCGATCAGAGCTCTGGCTTCATTCTCCAGCTGTGTGGCCGAGGCAACAAACTGGCGGCTCTCAATAGAGCGAGCAGTTTCTGCAAGAAGCGCACACCTGAGGTTGACAAAGGGGTCACCAGAGACGATCACCTTCACCTGTCTGCTGGCTCCAGTGTCGATCAGACGCCCGTAGGCTCTGTAGCGCTCCGAGATGAGTCTCAGTCTTTCCATCTTTTCCTCATCACTGGTGTTCTCTTCGTTGGTGTTGACCTCATCCAAAAACAAGATAACATCTGCCTCTTGGAAAGCTTGTTCCTGATCTGTGTGGATGGTCACCTGCAGACATGTTTCACATGTTTTTTTGTTGGCTTCTTTATTTCTTATGTTATCAAATCATGAAAACACTGTTTAAAGTAATGTACCTCATGGAGCATTGAGAGTGCCAAGTCTTCTGTCTCCTGTCTCAACTCCTGCAATTCCCCCCCATCCCCGTCCAGGTCCAAAAGGTGGAGGCTGACAGCCTCGGTGTTTGGGAACACCTCCGTGGACAGCACACGGGGAATCAACACATGGGAAGCTGGGCTCAGAGCACTGGGAAGACCAACTGAACTTATCAACTGAAACACTTACTTTGTTTTTTTCCTCTCTTCTAGACAAACCTACCCAGTGATCCAGATGTGGAGGGGTTTAATAAGACTCCGCCTATGCTTCTCTTCCATATCAAGGCTAATTTGGGTCTCCAGATTCTCTGCTGCAATTCTGAGCATCATGTCCATGGACATGTCTGATGTGACGCCATAGTAGTCCTAAATATGATCAAATGATCGTCGGTCAAAATTATGTGTTTGAGTTTATTGATGATTTTATTGAGAAAAACTTTTTGGTTCCTACCTGGCAGTGCTCCAAAAAGTCCCTGAGACCCCCTAAGATCATTGCCTTTCCTCCTTGTTCTACCAAGTCCCTCCAAACCAACGGAGAGTCATCATGTTTCCAATTATTTCTGTTGCATGTGGCCCTAAGCCATTCCTTTCAAAGGCCAAAAGCAGTGGAACCATAAGCAATCAAATAAACCAGGACATTTAAGCTTAGGCTGTTTCTTTTTTGGTGTTTGTTTTAATTTGATTGTTGTATTTCCACTTTTTCACAGTCACAATATCTATCTGCTTTGTGAATAAATATGTATTTAACCATATCACTTTAGCTTTATTTGATACATTTACTCTAATTCTTATGGGATGTAAAATTAAATGGGTTACCTTCCATTCACCTGGCAGTATAGGGATCTTGTGAACCTTGAAGTTAGGCAGAGATCGCTGCAAAGCGTCTGCTAAAAGTTCCGCTTTGGCATAATAAGGACAGTCTGCTCTACCTGTGAAGGAAAATGGATGAAAATGTAAGATGCACACCCAAATATCACACAGACTAATGCTGAAGGATCAAAACTAAAATATAATTTTACCAGCAAGCACAAATTTTGCCATTCTCTGCGGAAAGCGTCTGTTGCTAGGAGACCGTTTTGGTAACACTTTTTTAATCCGTTCAGCAAAGTGGTTCAGAAAAATCTACAAATATTTTTTTACTAAACTAAGTGAAAAAAATATTGTATTTGTTAAACTTACAAGAATAAATAAAGGTATTTTAATATCGAACTTAGCCTATTATAATTACGCTGGAAATGGTTTCCACTGTTGACAGCGGTCGGCACAAGTTTACAGGGGGACAAAATATGGTGACGGACACGTGTTTTATTAGCACGTGAGAATGCTAATATCAACTAAACCTTTCAAGTTCGTTTGCTTATTGAAAGCTAAGACAATACTTGCTGAATGGCGTTTTGATTTCACCCTTTCTTGGCATAGCAAAGACAGTGCTTTATTGGACGTTGTTTTTTCCTCTCTCCGAAAAGGTGCAACCCAGCTAACGAAAGTTAGCTAGTCTTTTCCTTTCTCAGGGAAGCGGTTTGTTGACCTTGTTAGGCGTGTATCGTTTTAGCCCACACAGTGTAACTTTGACAGTAATGTCAAGTGGAGACGTTTTTTGACAAGTTGCGTTTGTATTTGAAAGAGAAATATAGCGTTTTCGGTAACTTTTGCCAAGAGTTGTTTGTTGCTCCATAGCCTGAATGGATATGAATTAGTTCATATTCGTGTTTTGTTTTGGTTTTTGGACCTGCCCACCCAGCGCCCCGTTAACTACGACAGAGCTACATCATGTCTGTCTGGGTTACTGAGGAGGTCATCAAGAGGTCCCTTCGTTTTTGCTGCAGCAGGTCTCTATGGCAACAACGTTGTTTCCTGGTAACAGCATCAACTCCAGACTCATCTTTTCCCGGCCAGACACATGCACGCATTTTGGACCGAAGGCTGAACAGGTTATGTCCCCTGGGGAGACATGTTACTGAAATAAGGTTCTACTCTCAGGGTAAGAATCTCAGTGATGAGTTGGAGGGGGGGAATCATTTTACCCCCAAACTGGCTGTTCTGCCCCCTTCTGCTGAGATTAAGTTTGATGAGTCAGACTCAGAGCAGAAGCCAGGGAGGTCCCCTTTCTATGACTACCTGCAGTCCTGCCACTCCCCTTCAGATGTGTTAGACCTTACCTGTAAGTACTCGCCCACAATACGCCAGGTCAGCAACTGCCTGACGCAAATGTGGTCCTCCACCAAGAAAATGTCAGACGATCAGCGGCGCTGTGAGTTGCGGTTAATGTTCGAGCATCCCGCATTTGAGAAACTCATGCAAAAGGCCTTGAGTTCCGTCCAGCACATGCGCGACGATGACTTGACTTACTCTCTCCTTAGCATGGTCAGTTTGGGCGTGCCTCAACATAGCCGTGTGGTCCAGACTTACCTACGAACCTGTCAGGTAGGTGGCCAGGTGTGGCTGCTTGCAGACAAAGATTTTAAACCCTTTAATGTATTTAATATTCACCAACAGGACAGGCTGAATGACTTTGATGAGAAGAGTCTGTCCATCTTGGCTTCCTGTCTGGAACATATGGAGGACAGTCCCAACGTGGATGCTCTAAAGGAAGGCCTGAGGTAACAAATAATGGACTGTGAAATTTGAGAGTTAAACTCTTAAGGAATGGGCAAAGAGTAAGAATTGGATTCTTTTTTTAATGACTCCAGTCCTTATGCACTAACGATAACTGTTACTGAATCGTAGGCTGGTCGTTGAGACCCATCTTCCCAGGATTCAGAATGTAATGGCTCTTCAGACCATGATGCGCCTGTTGGGAAAAGATTCCCCAAAAGAGCTTAAATTGAAACTTGAGGTGAGTTTATGAGTTTGGATTCTGACCAGAAATAACTTCAGCTGGATTTGTTCATCCTTAGTCTTCATCTCCCCTGCCTCCCCACAGAAAAAGGCCTTATCGATGACGGACCAGTTCAGCCTTCCCAATGCTCAGTACATGATCTCCACTATGGCCGCGATGGGCTTCCACTCCAAACCACTGCTGCATGTCTGCAGTCAGAAAATCGCAGGTAAAACCTGTTCTCTGAGGCAAAAGCTTGAGAGTAAGATTAATCGTAGCTAAATATGTGTGTTCTTTCTGTCTCCCCTCTGGTAGAAAACCTTCATGGGATCCCATTTAGCAGATTATATAAAGTGCTGCAGTCCTGTAAGGTGCTTCTCTTCAGGGACTTGGATCTGCTGGTTGGCATTTCAGATTATGTTGCCTCCACCCTGGACATATGGTCCAACAAACAGGTGACACATCAGGCACCCGTCCTCTACCACACTTTATTTTTTAAAAAGTCAGTTAAAAACGTCTTCTCTGTTTGCAGCTGCTGCTTTTCTTATCTGTGTTCGAGGACCTCGTCTTCTCTCCCGCTGCCTTAATGACGGCTTTTGCTGAGAGAGTGATTGCCAAACCCGGAGCCCTGACGCTTAAAGACCTCCTGTGTGTCCTCAAGGTGTACTCCTCTCTCAACTTTGATCTTCAGCACCAAAGGGAACAGTATGTCACCTACATATCCAGTTAATTTATAGCTTCTAATTATAAAGGCAACATCTATTCAGGTCTCTTTCTCCATTAATCAAAACTGTAAATCCGTTAAATTCGGATTTGGTAGCTTTCCTCCCTTCAGACAGATAGCTAGAAAGCAGTACTCTTTTTCCATGAACGTTTTAACTCGCATCATGATAAAATGTTCCACACTGTAAAAAGGGTAAGCCAAGGCTTTACATTTAAGGTAATTAAAGGAATCACAAATGGAGGGAAATTAACTGTGTAGCAGGCAGGTGGAAATGAGTCATTGATGTTTGAAAAGCGACTGCCAGAATCATCCAAATGACCTCTCTGACAGGCTGAAAGCGTACCGAAAATGGTCCTTTCATTCTGTTTTGGCCGGGCTTCCTGTTGCTTCAGGTTCCTGGAGAGCCTGAGCCAGGCCCTCAGCTGCTACCTGCCAAAGATGTCCGGGATGGAGCTGCTGAAGGGGGCCTACTGTCTCTGTCTGCTGGGCCACTTCCCCCCAGCTCTGCTGGAGGGGCTCCTGCACAGCAGCGCGCTGGAGCAGCTGGAAGGTGAGCCAAAGGCCGTTTCGGTCTTCTTGGAGCTGATGTTGTGCTTTTGAACTGATTCCGTCGTCTTTCTCCTCAGCATCAAAGCTTCCTAAGAGTCGGGAAAGAATGCTGCAGACAGTGAGTCTGTGCCTCCGCCTGGACCGGCCCCCCCTGCCTCAGCCCCTGACGGTCCCCCCGGCGTTGCTGGGAAATGCCCCCCCCGTCACCTGGTCGATGAACTCACGGCTCTCACAGGGGCTGCAGAGTGTGCTGGGGGGGCAGAGCTCTTCAGGCCTGCAGGAGATGGTGGTGGTGGAGAACTTCTACCTCATAGGTAAATGCACAACCTCAAATCAAAACTAGAGAGAGTTTAGAGTGTTTAGTTCAGTTTTTTTAAATAATAAAGATTACTTTTGATTTCTAAAATCACAAATGTTCCTCTTCAAATTGAAAATTACTTCGTATTGTGTGTGTGTGTGTGTGCGCGCTGCCTCACAGATGGTCTTATAACCAAACCTCTGCCAGCTAAAACCTCAGAGACAGAGGCCAGTATCTGTACAGAGGAAACGTTTTCTCCAGCAGAGAGCAGCCAAAGGTAAGAGGACACCACTAGTGTGAGTGCTAACAACCCCAGCCTCACACACAAAGTCTGCTGTCTGTTTTTGTTCTTTTCTTTTTTTTCATTGCAATCATCTTTTCATATCTGGTAAAGTTGCTGCCATCAGTCTTTGGCTTTCAGCTTTCACACCGTCAGCACATCTGAGCATGGTGAGACATCTGGCATCAGGTGTCTGCTGACAAAACTTTACGAGCTACAAACAGCCTCCCGGCTGTATTTCAAACCTCTCCAGCTATCCGTTGCATTCAAATACCAAACCGTCATTATAAAAATATATATTTGACATCTTCTAATTACCATCCCATTGTGATCTCCACAGTCATTTGAAACCTGAAAAATCCTAAAATGATGAAAAACTTTAAAAGGTTTAAAGGTAAAACTAATTTAAAACCTTACAATGACTAAATGGAAGTTTAATTTAGCCTCTGTTTGGAAAGCTTAACTAACTCAAAACGGTGATTCAGTCTAACGCACACTTTGATAGATTCAGCTTCAGGCTGTCGGTAGTTTGTGAGACCAGTGTTGGGCAGTCAGTGCAGTCAAAGCACAACTCCAGGATTTCCAGATAACTTCAGAGGTTGTAAGTTGGAGAATGTCAGTAGCCTTATTTCTCATTCTTATGACCTTATATATGACATCTAATATTACAGCTTGAATGAATTTTGGGTTATATCTTCAGGAGGGAGAGCCGTTTCTATCAAAAACAGAGAGCCTGTAGCTCAGAGTAAGATGGGTTGTGAGCGTTTATGAGTGGCAGAATGTGGCTTTTTGTGTTAAAGCTGGAAAAGTGAGTACAGTCCTTTAACAACACAAGAACAGACCTTCTGTGATCAGTTTAGTTTCCCAATGAGCTAAAACCTTTAAAGCAGAAACATGTCGGCAAAGCCAGCCCAAGCTGCGATGGCAGCCAGCAGAGCTCTGCAGCTGAGTGCGTCTCATATAACTAAACCACAATCTGTTTTTCAGCCCTGTCCCAGAGATGTTTTACTCTCTGAAGCCGTTCTTTCATCCTGTCATGTCTGTACTTGAATTCAAATTTTGACCTTTTTCACAGCTGACAAATGACTTTCTTAATTTTCTAGAATTGCCGTCATTTATGGCCCAAACTCCAGTTTTTGCTATGGTACATCCACTCCCCGGGGTCCCCTCGCTGTTAAGATCCGTCATCTGAAGATCCTGGGATATACTCCTGTCCTGGTGAGACTTGAATTCTCTTTGGTCCAAACAGTCTGATGGTCTTGTTGGACATAAAGAGCTTAACTCCGTCATTTCAAGTCGATTGGACCTAGTTTGAATGTTGAAAAATTCTTAGAAAAGCAGTAGCAATATCATTTATTCATACTGTTCAGGGTACTTTCAAAGCTCATGCACTTACAGTTTGTTACAGATTTAAAACCCTCATCTTAAGAAACATTTTTACATCATTACATCATGAATACTCAATTTCAATGAGTTACATCTGTACTCCACTGCAACTAATGGCAGGTTTATTTTATTCCAACCGTCTCCCCAAGGTTAAAGAGCGTGATCTACAGCCTGCCACTGAGGAGGAAAGGACAGACATCCTTAGAAGACTGATTTTCCCAGAACAACACACATCAGAAAGCCTAAAATAGAGCACCTTGGATCTTAAAGTGGAAAAGAAAGCGTAGAGCCAGGCGTTTTGTTGTGTTACAGAAAAGTTTGTAAAGAATGTTTAGGAATGAATCCATTTTTAATGAAGTATTTAAAGGAGGTGCCTCTCGATGGATTTGTTTAAAAGCATCTGAGTAAGACACGCATTGTTTGCGTCATTGGGAGTGCATGATTGTTTTTAGCCGTGCGAACTGGAAGACATCATTTATGCCCCATGAGAAAAATAAAGCCTCTACAAACAGTTTGTTCGTTGTCAGCCATTACTGCCGAAAACCTGCACTTTTTGGATGTGGAACTCTTTCCATCGATGGATGGATGTTTGCACTCATTTATTGGTAATCTTAGCGTCATCTGTCAAAGTCTCAGAACAGAATTTGCTCACGTCTGTGCCGGCGGTAGCTGAACGAAACCACTAGCAGCACCGTGAGCGTTTCAGTTACTGCAAAGAAGCTGCTGCAAGGTGAGCAGCCAAAAGGTGGAGAACCTTTGAAGCTGCAACATCTGCAGAAAGCACCAGCGGGGGAAAAACGGCAGAGGGAGGGGGACAGGAAGCGCCGCAGCCTGTTGTTAGGTGTGCGCTCCTCGTATGGCCGCCTATCATTTTCATTCAGGTTTTAAATAGTTATTTTTCTGATTGCTTATAGATAAGGGCCGGCAATATCCAGGGTGTCACAGGGTCAGACGGCCCACGTCTTAGAGGCCTCTGTTGTGCTTTTTAAAAAACCCATTTTTAGATTTGTAACCACCTTTGATCAGCAGGTTAACGCTGAGCCACCCTTTAAATGTGGTTAGGTCCCCCCCAATCACACACCACTGTCTGTTTCGACCACAAACAGAGGGGTTCCCAATAACAAATCAGTGGTGGATTCAGTGAGCCAACGAAACAGGAAGTGAGCAAAAAAGAAACTTTTTTTTTTTTTTATTTCATACACCCACTACTCCAAGGAAACTGCTACTTCTGCTGCGTAGACACAAAGCCAACCGAATAACAAAACAAGTCACACGTCACAGTGTTCTGCTCATTCTAAGTGCTCACAAAGACCCGGCGGGTGAGGAGATAGCCCCAAAATCATCCGGCATGGCGCCAGACGTCAGACGTATCGTGGGAAGGGATTGAGCGGCCTTTTCTTCCTCTGGCGGTTCTGGGGTGCTCTGGGAGTGTTCATGTAGTCATTCTGGGATTCATCCCCCTTCCACTTGAACTGTAAGACACACGGGGACAACTGAGCATCTGCATTTCATGTCTTAGTCTCAGGATCATAAAGCAGCAGCGTTTTCAATTAAAGATGGGGACATGTCAGTGAGCTGGACTTTCATTTGTAGTTTACAGTTTTTATGGTGTTTTTTAACTGGCGACACCGACATTTAAAGATTAAAAAAAAAGTAGTTGTGAAAGAAATATTCTACTACAACATCATGGAAGAAGTTTTTATCTGAGCTGCATCAAAATCAAGCCCAGTTTGTTGTAATAACTGTTAGTGATCATGTAATAAAGGTCCTGCATGATTCTAACACCAGCAGAAGGGTCTTAGATTATTGGAAGCTAGTAAGTATTTTTTGTTATAACGATATGTAAATGGTGAAAAAAAATCTGATAATTTACCAATGCATCCATGATTTTACCATGTTTTCCTTCAACTGAGTTCCACTTTAAGTGTAAAAGCACATTAGAAAACATATATCAGGCTGGTGTTAGCATGTTACTTTGCTTTTTTTCTGCAGATTGGGGTTTGTATGTTCCCAATGATGCATTTATTGAAAATGAACGGAGCATTTACCAGTTCTAATGTCATAACATTAGTCAAATATGCCATGCTATCCTCATGAATGTTCCCTGAGTGTCTGCTAAAATAAATGTACACGTCTTCCTGTCTAATACAAAACATCTTTGCAGCAGTTAGAATCTTTTTGTATAAAATCCTGCATACATTTTAAACTTCAGAATGGGGTATTGGATTCTTACAACCACCCAAAGTGATTAAAAAAACCGAAAAAGTTGGCATATAGCTGTTTATTTGTCAGAAAATTGTTTTTACCTTGAATACAAGATCAAAACGATTGTAATTAAAGGATTAAAGAAGTTGCTGAGAACAACCGTTATAATGTTTTCTCTTAGTTTGCTGCTCAGGTGTGTCTTACCCAAAGGGATGATGCAATGATGGAGACGACCAGGCCGTAGGTGATGAGCAGCGCTATAGTAATCCAAACCCACAGAGGCCTTTGGCCTTCTCTGTCGGCCGTTACGGGGTCACGGTTGCATTTTCCGCATGTGAAATCATCTCCTGGAACAAGCAAAAGTTAGCTGGAGGTTTCTATGTGCCCGCCAATCCCAGGTCGCCTTTGCTTTGGATCTCAGCAGCTCATGGAATACTTACCCTCCTTTAAGACCACGACCCTCTGAGCGTGCAGCGTTTTGAGGGGGGGCGGGTGCGTGATGATGGTGTCACAGCTGTACACTGTGTTGTTTGGGACTTTGGATCCATCTAAGATGAAACCCAGCGACACGTTCTTTTCATTTTTCCATATGTCCACATCCAGGCTGAGGTTTGATCCTTGTTGATCAGGATGTATGAGCTTCCTGTTTTCATAGAGATGCAGGGTCACCTCTCCCGATGCGTTCAGGCACGGCACCAGCACGCGCGCCGTGCCTCCTGCGGGGACGCAGTACACCTCCTTCAGTTCTGGGGGCGAGGCCAGACAACAAGTCAGTACGCTTTTTCAAAAAATCTTAATTGTCTTTCAAGTTTTTCATAAGTCGAGCCTTGCCGTTATACTCCCGAAGCCGTTTCAGAGCCTCTCCACCCCCCACGGTGGAATTTGTTTCATGCTGCACATCTCAGCACTTTTTTCTCTTTCGGCGGCGTTTGATGTGAAAAACAGAAATCGAGTGGCACACTTGAGTCAGCCGCTGACTTGAATTTCACTTACAAGTTTGTGGTTTAGGGGACATGTGCTGCAGGTGGTGCTGAAGTCTTAGTGAGCAGCTGTTGGCTTAACGTTGCTTTATAATGGACACATCTCTAACTAAAGAATGCATGTGTTCAACTGAACAAAGACACCAGCTGAATGATTGTAAGGTTACAATGCAACAGAACTGCTGATTACTGAGAACACATCCAAGCAGGAGGAAAGAGCTGCTGTCGATATGAGGGTCAGTAGTTTGACTCCGTGTTGAGGAGTTCTTTGTAAAGGTTCTGAACCCCATGTTGCCAGTTTTCTGGGAAGGTGTAAATGACGTGTCGTGTGAAATGTGCTTTGGGGGGCCAGTTTGACTGGACAAGTGCTTAATTTAGATGTGACCTTCTTGAGTCTGGCGCTGAAACAATATCTGATTTCACTGTATTTATTCAAGTTTAAAGTTATTCAATCTCACGTTTTACAGCCCGAGTACTGAGGTAAACCGTGAAGCTGTTAACCTTCACTGTTTACAGCCATGTCAGCCATCTATTATCACATGTGGATTGACACCCAGAAATCACTTTTTACTTTTAACCTGGTTGGAGTTTCTTGCATTTGTTTGCATTGAGAAAAAGTCATCAGAATTTTCTTTTTCACAGCTTGTCCTCATCTTACCGTTGCTCCTGTTGGTGGTCAAATGCTGAGCAGCATGAGATGACTGGCAGTACGAGACGATCAGGAAGATCCAGCAAACCTTCATCCCGGTCTCGCTTTTTTCTTCTTCTTTCTTTGCACTGACAGCGTGGACTTGCTTCCAGCAGAGCGATTCTTCCACGTTACCCAAAACTTGAACCTTCTCTGGCAAAATCCATGAGGCTGCAGGCTACAGTGGAATGTGACCGGTTACTTTGATATCATCCGCTCTGGTTCTACACGTGCTGCTTTCACTTGAAGGGCCCGTATCCTCATTCAGCCTCTGAAGCACTCCCACAGTGCTGCACTCACCTCATATATACCCTCTAGAGAGGAAACATCCTGTGACAGAAACCCACGATTTCCGCTCTCTCCCTGAGTTTGTGATCTGCTGTTGCCCCAATAAGCTCATTTAGGATTTATTTTTGCCAAAAGGGTGCAGTCAGACAGTTCTTTTTTCCTTGATCTTTCTAGCTCTGTGCATGTGATTGAACTCTTTTGCCATGGAGCTGCTGCATTCAAAAAGAAATAATTAGCTTTCAATGTTTTGAATCTATTGTGTCATTATGATGGAGGTGAGACTTTGTGGTTAGCACAGATAAGTACAATACAGCAGAAACACCCACGTGTTATTGCCAGAATCAGCACTGTTGAGATGATGATATTGTGAACAATTAAACCTACTGTGTATTTTGCACGAAAGAACAGAAGATTACTTTTGTTCCATCTGCACACAGTATTGAAAAAACACTTAAAATAAATGTGGGTTGGAGGGAAACAAGGACAGACGGCTGAAGTGGCCACTGTAGGAAGCGTTTACACTGAGAGAAAATCCATTTATGAGACATGAATAAGACAGTCTGAGAAGCATGAGTCACTGTGTTTAGCACATTAACAACACAACCCGTGAAAAACTGTTTGTGTTCCGTCTGGATTGTCAAATGTCTGACTGTCTTAGTTAAAAACAACTTTTTGAATGTCATATGGTTTACAGGAAAGGAGCTGCACTGTTCTTTTAACTCCATTAGATGGCAACAAAGCTCTGTGTTTTCAACATGACAACATAAATGAAGTACAAATGAAAGAAAACTTCATCACTACATCACCGTCATCGATAACCAGTAATAGAGCAGGTGGTGGAGATCAAAATGGGGAAGAAAATGTTCATTTTGTTCGAACACACTGGTGGGATTGTGAAGTAGTGATTATGGCCTTTTTAGAAGAGGCTGTGCGTAAATCCAAATCCAAATCAGAAAATGTGTGAGAAGGGGGGATTGATGGGTTGGTGAGGCCATGTGTCTGTATGTACAATAATCTCCTAATCTGGAACATGCACCTCTTGCCTGGGGGGTTGTTGGCGGCTTTAAATGAGCATCAACGGGAAGTCCAGTGTGCAGTAATCTGACCGCTTTACATTACTCACACTTGACATATTAAAGCCAGGAACAAGCTGTCAGTAGGATCTTTGTTAGTCTGAGTGTACTGTATGTGAAGAGCATCTGAAAGATGGATGTTGCATACGGTGTTTCCCATTCGATTTTTTTCCCAATGGATCTACTCATGTTTTTCAAACACAGATAAAAAATCTTGTTTTCCTTAATTCTTAATTGCACTGTATGCTTAGCGATTTTGTCTTTTACTTTTAAATTTAGAATCACATTTTGTATTAATTTTTTATGTCTTGCAGATTTGTTCTTATTGGCTATTTTACTATTGTTAGTTAATGTATGCTTTCTAGATCTATTTGATTTGATTTACAGTCCATTTGATGATCATTGTCTGGCTTCTGATTTTGCCCTGTTATTGTGGTGTCATGAGGAGCAAATAATGAGGCGTAAATTAACAAATATAAGGCAAGGTGCGATTTGATAATAGGGCTCAAACTGGAGCTAGGTCAGCTCTCGTCAGCCCTCATATAAGATATTTCCGACCGGCCCTGAAGGGGTCGTGCGCTCCTGGGCTGGACAGGAAACGACGGGGACGCGCAGCGTGTCTCCTCGGCAGCTGCGGGAGAGAAGAATGGGAATGGGAGTAGATCTGTGGACTGCAGGCGTGGAAGTGGATGAAAACATGAGAACAACGGGCACTTTGGACTAGATTCCGGTTTAAAGCAGACACTTCTAACCACGGCACCGGGATTCTCCCTCCTCCCCTCCAGACGCGGCGGGATATTTCTGTTTTTACGGGGAAAGGCAGAAGAGAAGAGCCTCTTTGTGAGCCCGGTTCACTGTGAGTGGGGTTTTCAGTCCTATTCCGACATGTTTTCAGGTTCTGTCCACCTTCCCCTCCCTCTTACAGAACGCTATTCCCAGAACAGAAATGGGAGAAATAGCAGGAATCCGGGCTTTTCCTGGCCCGGCCAGACTCTGACCTGGGGCCGGGAATTGGAGAAGTCCGGCTTCTTTAAAACTGCCCCCCCCGGTCTTCTACACAAACCTGCGTTATTCCCCTGCTCGGTGAGGGTTTTTTTTTTTCCGCGGTGGGGTGTTTGAATGGGGGCCTGTGTGCCCCCATATGCGGCCATTGAACGGTCCCTCTGTCGGGGAAAAGGGTGTGCAGCGTTTGGGTGGGCTGGGAAAAGAGCCGCATCTCTCCGGGGAGTGTCACTCCAGCGCCATCCTATTGTTACCCTGCGCGTTTTGTTTTTGTTATTTGTTGTGTTTTCAGCCCCGGGATGTAGTCGTCGGGGCCTGAGGGGAGCTTTCTGCCCCCGCGTCCAGCCGGACGGACAGCTGCGGGCCGAGTCTCCACCCCGCGGGGCGGGAGGGGGCTCCGGGCTCCCGGTAATGGCCGCCCCGGCCCCGCCGAGCTCCATCCTGCTGGGGCGGGCTTATTCTTTCGTCTCCGGGGTGTCGAACAACCTGTAACATTCGGGGTTGTGTGTGTCTGTGTGTGTTTGTGTGTGTGTGTGTGCCGCTCGGTGCGCATGACCCCTTCACGGCAGCCCACGGGCCCCGGGATAATTCCCTTTGTTGGGTGACGCCACCGGCAGCAGGCTGGACACCACGCAGCCACTCTGACTAGTGGTCATCCTCAGTGTAGTCCTACCGGCCGGCCACGTCCAGAGCCCTGGTCCAGAGCCCCCCCACACGGCAGCCTTTTGTGGTTTTGTTGGCTGGAAAGTTGGAGTCCAGACCCATGTTGCGTTCAGGCTCTGCTCCAGCAACAGCCGCCACTGTTTGTTTGCTTTTTCTTGTAAATGATTATTCACCAGCTAGCTGCCCCCCCCCCC